TGATACCCTCAGATGTACCATTCTGTCAAATTCTTCTCCCTGCATATATGTCTTCTAGAACCTTCATGCCAGGTCCAAACTGGATTGCTTATCCTGTGCACCTCGTGTGCATGTGCAGAGGGGACCCCGAGCTTTAGCCTTGCCACCCTGGTGATTCCCTTCCTTCTGCATCAAGTCCTCTGGTGCTTGGATCCTGCCCAGCTTTGCTTTGTTTTGTCATTTAGGCTTCACGTGTTAAAATCACCTAGACTGCCGATCCAGAGCTTGATCAAGCTATAGATTATTTTTATTAGAAATTATTTTTCTCCTCAGAATTTTAAAGGTATAGGTCTCTCTCTCTCTCTCTTTCTTTCTTTCTTCCTTTCTTTTTTTCTTTTTTTATTTACTTTTTTATTTATTATGTATACAATATTCTGTCTGTATATCTGCAAGCCAGAAGAGGGCACCAGACCTCATTACAGATGGTTGGAAACCACCATGTGGTTGCTGGGAATTGAACTCAGGACCTTTGGAAGAGCAGGCAATGCTCTTAACCTCTGAGCCATCTCTCCAGCCCCCGGCATAGGTCTCTTTTAACATCTCACATTACTATTGATAAAGTTTGTTGTTATTGGTTTTAATTAGACGTGATCTTGTTCTGCTGCCTAAGCTGGCTCAGAACTTGCTGTGTTGCCCAGGCTAATCCTGGCCACTTGATTCTCTTCCTTCAGCTTCCCATATTCTGGAATTACAGCTATGAACTGCCATGTGTGGCTTGAGAAGTGTTATATCTAACCCATTGTATGTCACTTGTCTTTTCTCTCTGGAAACTTTTGCCATTCTGTTTTGTTTTTAGTGTTCTGAAGTCTTACCATGAGGCAGTTTGGGAGTCAGTGGGCAGAGAACCATGCCAACCCCGGTTTTCCAAGTCATACTGCCAGTCCTGAGTCATCAGTAGCCCAGGGGAACTACTTACCCTTTTAAAGCCTTTGTTTCCTCATCTTCAAAATGCAGGTGACAATAGCATAGTCTCATGGTGTTGCAAGTGGGTTACCATCTTTAAAAATGCTTGGAACAGTCATTTAGTAAACGCTGTTTAAACATTAGGTCTCATTAACATTTCAAATGCAGAAAACCTTTTACTAGGAATGTGGAACATCCAATCTCATGTCTTCTTCATGAGATTCCTCTGTTACTTTCTCCAAAAAACTCCTGGTATTGGGCTGTTGGTCTTCTAGACTAATCTCTGTAGATGGAGACTGCTTGTTCGTTCCCAGATGCCCAGACCCGAAATAATCACTCAGAAACTGTATTAATTAAAACAGTGCTTGGCCTATTAGCTTAGGCATATTCCTGACTAACTCTTATATCTTAAATTAACCCATTTCTATTAACATGTATATCGCCATGTGATTGTGGCCTTCCAGTAAGATTCTGTCCAGCATCTTGTACCTGTTTCCTGCAGCGTCTACACGGTGTCTCTTTGATGCTGCCTACTCTCTCTCTCTATCTCTTTCAGCCTGGTTATATTCTGATATGCCATTGGCCGAAAGCAGCTTCTTTATTAATCAATGTCAATATAACATGTTCAGAGCATACAGAGGGGAATCCCACACCAGTTCTCATTAAAAAGGAATCTTTCATTCATTGAGTATGATGGAGCTAGGAAACCACAACCAAGAGAGTTGCTGTTAGAGCTGCAGAACAAAGAAAGACGCCTGGGGCCTACAGTGCATGCCAGTATACAGATAAAGGGCTGTTCCTGCAGGTAACATGAATCGTAAATGCTCTGTTTCAGAGTTTGAAGGGTTTCTGGGCATATCGTGGTACTTGTGATTGACTACTGTCATTGTTCCTAGATACTGATACAACTTTATGAAACTGGTTTATGTGTATGGGTGTTAAGCTTACATGTTTGTCTGTGAACGGCCTGGTGCCGGTGAAGGTCAGAGGGGGCATCAGATTTCCCAAGGCTGGAGTTACAGATGGTTGTGCGCCACCATGTGGGTGCTAGGAATCAAACTGGGTCATCTGGGAGAGCAGTCAGTGCTCTTAACTGCTGAGCAATCTCCCCATCCCTGAAACAATGTGTGACAATAAAGTTTTATTAATTTTATCTAAACCGTTAATTTTGTTCAAGTTGTATATAATAATTAAAATAGTAAGGGAACAACCCTTTTTTTTATCCTTTTGATTTTCTTTCTATGTGTATGTCTTTCTTGTTCTAGGACATTGCTACTTTTACATTTTAAACTTTCCTATGTGCTCTTAATTTAATCTATTTTGTGTTTTGCTGTTTTTCCCTCTGAATGATTCTTTTTAAATGGCAATCTGATTTGCTTTGTGGATATTACGTGTTTCTTCTATTTTCTAAGAAGAGGTTTTTTTTTTATTGTTTTCCTTAAGATTCGTTCCCTGTCTACTTGTTCTCAGTGCTGTCTTGCATTAGAAACCACCCACAGAAGCAGTCTCTTTGTTGCCTCATCGTGTCTATGAGCACACTAAAAAATGCCTGAGAAAGCTCTGTGCCCGTGGGGAGGGTTTGTCCATGTAGCTACATGTGGAGGACCTGACAGGGCTATTGTGTTGGGAAACCCTCAGCAGCTGTGTCTTCTGGGCTTTCTTTTGGGATGCTCGAACTGCAAAATGAAAACTCTTGTGGTCTCTTGCCTGGAAGACAAGTGCTTGGCTGCCGGTCATCTAGGAGCAGGAAGATGGCGCCTCACTACATCATCCTAGCAACACAACACACTGTTTCAACCTGCTTGGTGTTTCTGGGAGCAGAGACTGCACTTTCCCCCCCATGCTGGGTGTGGGGGAGGCAGTTCTCTCCATAGGATGCAGGGAAGGAACCTATGATCTCTTTCTTAATCTATCTTCTCTTTTTCTCTTGGTCTTCACCTTGGCCCCAAAGGAAAAAGATGCTGCCAATTCCAAGTCTCTGGTGTGTGTGTGTGTGTGTGTGTGTGTGTGTGTGTGTGTGTGTTTCACACCAGGCTCTTGGCTTTCTTCACTGCTCGAATAGAATGCAGCGTCTCAGCTCTCACTGAAAAGTGTGCTTAAGGATTTTGTTGTTGCTACCAATTCTTCTAGTTCATTTGCCTGCGTAGGTTTATGCTGATTGCAAACCCTTTCAGTGTTGTTTGGGGTGTTGCAGGAAGTGGGGGTAACTGCATACCCTCCAAACACCATCTTAGTTAAGTTAACGTCTCCTGCCCTCTCTCCTTTCACAGTACCTCTGCCCCTCAGTCTCCTGACGGCTGGAATACAGGCCACTCTCTTGTTACTTTTTAGCAGTGGTTAAGGTGGATGAACACATACATCTCCTCATTCCTATTATAGAAAACTGAATGTTTCCATGCTTCTAGGAGTCTGAAAATTTAACATATGAAGAATTCACAGATCACACACACACACACCAAACTATTAATAGGGATGGCAAGCAGAGGTAACCAAGCAGCCCCCAGGGTGAGGAAAAGCTCCTCTCCACATAGTGGTAACATAGAATGCCACAGTGATTCCTAGTAAAACATCTGGGACGGAAGCAACATTAAATCACTACATGAACAATGATTCCTTCCAATAAAGGGCACTAGCAGAGTCTACTGACTGAAAGAGTGTGGGGAGACCATGTAATGTTAGTGGCTGCACACAGAATGTCTAATACCTATTGCGGGATGTGCCCTTTATAACGGGAAGTTCGGTCATCATCCGATGATCTCAGTAATTGACACCATGTCTCTGATGGTGAGACATACATATATGTATCCTGATGTGCTGTAATGCAGAAACATGGTGCCTGAGAAACAGACTCTCCATAGTGAGTACCCTGGCCTAATCAGGCTTCTAGTGCTTTCAGTCCCAGCTTTCATCTGGAGCTGGTGACAGAGGACCTGCCACACAGGGCCACAAGAAAGACACGAGACGAATTTAGGATGCGAGGCATTTTAGAGTGAGCCCGTCCCTTCTCTCTGGGACAGAGAGACTGGCTTCAAGTAGCAGATTTGGGAGACGTGACTGCATACAATGCATGTTCATTGGATTTGGCTGGAAAATCCTGAAGAGAGATTTGTGTCGTGATGCCGTAGAACTTAGAGATGGGGCCAGGGGTGCGATCTGTTTACCTTTAGCTTAGGAGCACTATATGGGAAGCTACGGGAGGCAGATGTGGCCAAGTACTATCTGCTGTTGAGTCAAGGTGGCAGGGATATAGATGGATTGCATTCTTTTATTATACTTTTCTAATGAATTTTTCACATTAAGAGGTCTAGGAAGACTACCTACTAGTGTGAAATTGCATAAACTTGGCCTGATGGAAGCAGGAAAGAGGGTTTCCTAAGGCTATGTTGGCACTGGGCACCTAGGAAGGAGGGTGTTGGTGCTGAGTTCACCAAAGCAGTGGAGTGAGATGGTTATTCATTCCAGGATAGGTGAGTCTCAGAAAAGTTAATATCCTTCCAGGAATGCTCAAGCGATGGTAAGGAATAGTTGACTCGCTGGCAAGATCAAGTCCAGCAAGCCATATTGAAATCCCAATGAGCTATCACACGCTTAACTGCTGTGAATGTCCTCTGCCCATTGTCACTAAAGAACCTCCTTCCCACGAGAAGTCCTGAAGGTGTGCTCTCTGTCTCCCTTCTTTCCTCTTTGTTTTTACCAATTTTTCACATCTTAATTTTTTTTCTTCAAACATCATGAAATAACTGCCCGGACTACCGAGTTAAAGATACAGTGACGATTAAAACACTGAGTTGCTTCTTGTAGAGCTAAATTGCACTTGGAATGTAGTTACTGGGGCCGGTGAGAGGACCCCAAGCCTGATGACCTGGGTTTGATCCCTGGGACCCACATGGTAGAGAGAACCAACTTCTAGAATCTGTCCTTTGACCTCCATGCATGTGCCATGCACCCACACACAACAAACAAACAAACAAACAAACAAAAAGTGTGAGAAATCTATCTTCTGTCTGTCTGAAGCACTCTTTGCTGCTCCACCCATTTCCTGTCCTCTTGTGATACAGGGAGCTGGACTGCGCCATGTTACGGCGCCTGGAGAAGAGGATTCTGGTTGATCTCCCTAGCCAAGAGGCCAGACAGGCCATGATCTACCACTGGCTGCCCCCTGTGAGCAAGAGCCAAGCCCTGGAGCTGCACACAGAGCTGGAGTACAGCGTGCTGAGCCAGGTGGGCAGTCTTAGAGGGAGCCTCCAAGCTGCCCAGGAGGGCAGTGGAGCCCTCCTCATGAAAGAATGGGCTACAGGAGACTGGGCTACAGAAAGTAGGAGCTGTGGGGAGGGGCATGGGATCCAGATTCAGAGAGCCTACGATCAAATCCTGGCCCTGCAGCATATCAGCTGTGAGACCCTAGGGACCTCACATACTCTCGGAGCCCAGTTACTTCATTTCTAAGACTCACAGTGGGTTATTGTGATCAATGAACTGACGAATCCTTTGCAAAGAAAAGCTCAAGGTATGTATCTTGTTAATGCTCTTTGGGTATTGTATTAATCAGGGTTCTCAGGAGGGACAGAACTTAGAAAATGAGTATATGTATATTTGATATATATGTGTGTGTATGTATACACATATGAAGGGGATTTATTAGAATGGTTTACATCCTATGATCTAGCTACTTCAACAATGTCTGTCTATCAAAGTAAGGCCCACAAATTCAGACCACGGGGCTGGATGTCTTTAGTATACTCCAGAATTCCAAAGAATTCTGTAGTTGGTAGTTCTCTCATCCAGTGAAGGAATGGAATGGATTTGCTAGTGAGGAGGAGCAGACACAGAGAGCCAGCTTCCTCCCTCACGTCCTTGAATAGGCTACCAGCCGAAGGCGTGCTGCAGACCTTCCCACCTCGAAAGATCTGAATTTTAAAAGTGGTTCTCCCCACTTCAAATGATTTAATTAAGAAAATATCCCTCCCAGATACACGCAGCTGCTTCAGTTTTAGTTAAGCCCAGATGTAGTCAAGTTTACAGCCAAGAACAGCTACCACAGGCATCCAGTCCCAGGATATCTGCTTTGGGTAGACTCTTAAGCCTAATGCTTTCTAAAGGCCCTCAAAACAAGAATGGCCTTGTTTAACACATGAACCAAATGTCCACTCTAGCCAATGTAGACTTAGGGTAAGGGCCCCACTAGGCAACACTGGGTGGCATTTCACAACGTCTTCAAAGGTATGAGGAAGCTATCGCCCAGATGGACAGTTTGCTGGGCATGTTAGCATCTCCTCTCTGTCCAGCATTGCTTACTCAGAGATGCTGACATAGTGAACAGGGATGACAAAATTGTAAGCCAGTGTTCTGCTACTGGATCCTGCCTACAAGAAGGAGTCAGGCGCCAGCCTTCTGCCTGCTGACTGACCCTGGCTCTGTGGCTCCCTCAGGAGACGGAAGGCTACTCAGGCTCCGACATTAAGCTGGTCTGCAGGGAGGCAGCCATGCGGCCTGTGAGGAAGATCTTCAGTGTGCTCGAAAGTCATCAGTCAGGTATGGCTGGGACCCACAGCGACGGTGGGCTTGGTAGAGAAATTTGTGCCCACGTATTCCAACTCTTGGAGGGGTGTGGTGGTTCATGCTTGCCCTCCCAGCCACTTGGGACCTGAGGCAGGATCAAGTTTAAGGGCAGCTTGGGTTACATAGTGAGCTCAAGGCTAGCCTGGACAAGTTAACAAAAATCCAAATTCTAAAAGGGACTCAGTTTAGTGGCAGAGCGCTTCTTTGCATGCAAAAGTCCCACCCATTCTGACCAGCAGGTGGAGCCTGGAGCCTGGTTTTCCAGGCTCTGTGGCTTTTAACATTTGTAAGCTCTCTGGTGAAATCATCACCCCCTATGTACTCAGCTGCATCCTCTGCTGCAAGATTCCCACTACTGTTCCCCCCCGCCCGACCCCTGGCACATGCTGACATGGGGTCAGATTTAGCTGAGATATTGTGTAAATAGTAAATAGTAATTTGATAACAATATATTTAAGTCCCTTTTGGAGGCAGGGTGGTGGGGTAGCTGGGGTGTCAGGGCTGAAAGCCTCTGGGTAGAAAGGTCCCCCTCAGCCCTTTTCAGATGTGAGTTTGAGCTGCATTAGCCATCAAGAACAGGATATCGTGAAGTCTCCAGACCTGGCCCAGTAACCTGTCAAGAACGCTTGTCACCGTGAGGTGCTGTGCCTTGACTGTTGTCTTTTTGTCTAGAGAGCAGCAATTTACCCGGGATCCAGCTGGATACTGTGACCACGGAGGACTTTTTGGATGTGTTGGCTCACACCAAGCCTTCAGCAAAGAATCTGACTGAGAGATACTTGGCCTGGCAAGAGGAGTTTGAGTCTGTGTAAATAAAACTGTACTCAGTCCGACCTGGTCAGAGGCTGGGATGGAAGGGAGGAGAATTTTCTTGAACACAGAATGAATCTGGACAAAAGTGTTACTTTGTAGATGAGATCTTGTGTCATGGATGTCAGCAAAGTGAAGGCTTTGGTTACGAGTGTGTGGGTCAGGCAATGGAGGGGTTCTTACAATTCCACTATAAAAATTTGAAGAAGTTTCTAATGGTATTTCTTATTTGTGAATTGAGGTCTTCATTTCGAAGAAAAGTATTTTCTTAGTCTCTTTTCTTAATTTCTTTCTTGTTGATACATTCTCAAGCCTGTCTGGTACCATCAGAATCTCCTCTCTCCCTCCTTCCCTCTCTTCCTCCTTCCCTTTCTTTCCCTCCACAACAGGGTCTCTGTAACATGAGGGCCGGCTTGTTGGGGTTTCCGTCCCGCCCGGTACCCCAACAGCCGGCAAATCCCAAAGAGAAATTACACACAGGACTCCATAAGGTTATAAACTGATTGGCCCATTAGGTCAGGCTACTTATTAGTTCTTATAACTTATCTTAACCCATTATTCTGATCTATGTTAGCCACATGGGCTCAGTACCTTTCTCAATGTGACAGCTTACATGTTGCCTCTTCGGTGTTCTGTGCAGGAGTGGTGAGAGAGTTTCTACTTCCAGAATACTCCCAGTCTCTTTGTTCCACCCCTACTTCCTGTCTGGCTTTCCCGCCTATACTGCCTGCCTGACCAATCAGCATTTTATTAAAATATGATTGACAGAATACAGACAATTCTCCCACACCAGGTCTCATTGTGTAGTGCTGACTGGCCTGGAACTCGCTTTGTAGACCAGGCTGGCTTTGAACTCACAGAGATCCCCCTGCCTCTGCCTCCCGAGGATCAGGGTTAAAGTGCTTCCCTAACACATCCAGCAGTATGCTTTTCTAAACAGCTGAACGCCTCGTGACTGTTCTCCCTCTGCTCTAGGGAAAGACCTCCATAGATGCCCCCCCTCTTCAGTCCCTCTTGCCCTAGCTGACCACCATGACTAGTGTCCTGCCACCATACTTATTGCCTCTGAGCCCTTTGCTTCTGTTTTCCCAGGGAATAAAGGAAAACCTCCATCCTGGCTACTCGGGGCTTCTGGATCCCAATTAGTTTGTTAACTAACTTTCAACCACGTGGCTTCTCAGCCCTGCCTTACATTTCACTCTCCTGGTTCTGAAGGACGGAGTGTGTCTGTGGATTTTTTGGCCTTGTCTTGCATTTGTTACTCAGTTGGGCTACAGTCCAGCTGCTTTGTGTCTTCCTCTGTTACATCTTCTCGTCTGCATTCCCTCACTGGCTGATCTCATGGGTTTATAATTTCTCTATTCTCTTCCTTTCCTTAGTGGGGGTTTGAGAAAGGAGACCAGCTAAGACAGGATTGCTCTGGAGTATCTACAGTCATTTGTTCTTTATGTTTCTGAGTGAGTGTATGTCACATGTGCCCAGATGCCGTGGAGGTCAGATGAGGGTGTCAGCTCCCCTGGGTCACCCTTAGCTACAGTCACAGGCAGTTGTGAGTGGCCCAGCATGAGTGCTGTGTACCACACTAGGGTCCTCTAAGAGTGCAAGCACTAACCACTGAACCATCTCTCCAGCTTCCTATTTATTAAATTAAATGTATTGGACAGTTTCATACATGTGTATAATGTATTTTGGTTATTTTCGCCTTCCCCTCTGTTCCCTTCCTCTCACTCCCATCACCTCTCCCTCCCTGTCCCTTGTTAATGTCTCTTTTGTTTTATTACTCATTGAGTTTAACCAAGGCATGACCATGGGTACAGAACGATCCACTGGAGCTGGTGGGCTCATCTGTGGGTGCATGACTGAATAATGATACCTCCATAGCATCCATCAATAAACAGTAGCTACCCAGAGAAGGATAGATACCCATAAGCCCCTCTCAATCCCTGACTGATCGATAGTCCCAGTCTCTCCCCTACCCCCACCCCGAGACAGGGTTTCTCTGTGTAACAGAGCCCTGGATGTTCTGGAACTCACTCTGTAGACCAGGCTGGCCTCAGACTCACAGAGATCCACCTGCCTCTGCCTCCCAAGTGCTGGGATTAAAGGTGTATGCGACCAGCCAGCAATAGGCCCAGTCTTGTGAAGCTCAGTACAGGTGCCTGCAGCTGCAGGAGTTGATGATTGTAAAACCATGGCATTCTTAGCAGAGTGGTGTGCAGCCCATCTCCCTATCACCCAGCTCTTTGAGATGTTCTCTGAACTATATAGAAGGGCCTATAGTTATTTTTTAGTGGGTTAAAGGTTGGGACAATAGCTCAGCTGCCTTGCCTTACCAATATGAGGACCTGAGTTTGACCCTAGCATTCACATAAAAATGCCAGGTCTAGGGTGCATGCTTCAAATTCCAGTGCTGGGGAAGTAGCAGAGAGGGAGGAAATGCTGGCTTACTGGCCAGGCAGGCTAGCCTCTTTGGTGAGCTCCAGGTCGATAAGATCCTGCCTCAAAGGGGGTGAGGGGTGTTTCTGAGGTGACACCCGAGGTCATCCTCTAGTCTCTAGAACATAGGTGCACTTGAAAAAGATTATACACACATTATATATATATATATATATATATACATATATATACACATACACATATATGAAGTTGTATGAGAAGTTGACTTCTTAGTAGTTGCAATAAATAAAATTTAACTTAACCCAATATGTGGGGTATTTTGTTGTTTATCTGCAATAAATCAGAGCTCACAACACTAATGCCTATGGTAGCAAGGAAACTGATACCACATGAGTCAAGCACAAGAGTGCAAGGCAGAGGCGGGGAGGGGTGAACTGGTGAGGGCCAGTTCTCTCTGAAGGACACAGTAGTGAGTCAGCTCAGACCCAACATCTGCCAGGTCTAATCTTCCCAGAAACAGTGGTGAGTGCCTTGCGTCTGAACATCATCCTCAAATGGTGACAGCTGGGGTTAGTCACCCTTGCTCCTGTATCTCTCGCATCCTGTAGACATCTAAGTGGACCACACTTAGCTCCAGCAAACCCAGCCTTTTTGTCGATGACTGTCTTCCTCATCTCTCACCAGCCGCCGGTAGCTGCGACTCTGGGTGTCCTCCTCAAGACCGTGGTTTGAGGTTCTTTTTTCATTCCTGCTGATTTAATGAGATGTTCTTTAAAACAGTGTAGGCCAACAGCTACCTGAGCCCCAGAAGTTACAGAAACTGTTCCCAAGCGCCCAGCTTCTGCCCTCTTATGGGAAGTCTACCATTGCTTTGACTATGTCAGAGTCCTTTGTATGACTAGGTTTGTTTTTATACGCCTCAGTGCCCTGACTTGCAGACACTCATCTTAGGAGACAGAGCTGTGCCTGCTCTCTTCCTTCTGCTTTAGCCACAGTAAGCATCTAATAAATACAAATTTCTCAGGCACATCAATCACGGAAATAGTTCCAATGCCTATGACATGAAAGTAAACACTAGAAGCTACTCAAAGTTGTTAGTGACCTATGCAGTTCCTATGATTTTTGATCTGGTGCTTCACTGCTGCCTCTTAAAGACAGAAATGTGCTTCTAGCTGGTAGGCCTTGATGGCTGCTCTCATAAAAAGCCAGCAAAGCTCTCCCTCGTGAGTTTCCGAGGAGAAACATCTTGGTGATTGATGACAAACAAACATGATAATGTAAACATGGCTCCACGCAAATGACTGCAATATGAAGAAGGGATTCATTCTGCCACTCAGGAAGGGGTGTTTTGGTCAAACAGATTAATGCAGTTTTAAAAATTTTTTACTGCAGGTGCCTAAGGACTTTAATTTCACGTTACTGGAACCACTGATCCAAAGCTAACTGAACATAATAAATACTGAGTGTTTCCACCTTCCCCGCCCTCCAGGATTCTGGAGTTTGAAAGTGTGGGATTAAGGGAGAAGCGACAGAGCTATCATCCCAAGGTAGCACCTGACATCACACCTGGGGACATCACACCTGGGGACATCACACCTGGGGACATCTGTGGACCTGTCACAATGGGGTGGCCCCTTTTCTGGGCAGAGCCATCACAGCGGGCTGGTCTCTGTCATGATAGACGTGGTGTGTCAGGCAGGCAGAATCCAGCCTCTAGCTGTGTGAGTCAGGAGCGACAGGAACCCGGCCACTACTGGACTGACTCCCACTCCACCAGTGTTTTCCGTGCTCGTGACAACCGTCGGTTCCTATCGTGCCCCATCATCTGCACCTTTCCACGCTCGTCCATCTGCTGGCCAGTGTGGATCCAGGCTTTTGCGTCAGCACAACATAGCCCTTTAATTCCGAGGTGGCCTGTGTGGGACTAGTGCTGTCCCAATGGAAGCTGGAGTCACTCTGGGCTGTCCATGGGGGGGGGGGGGCGCAGGTTATCTTGATCTGAGGTGGTGGGAAGTGTGTGTTCAGGGTGGCATCATTTTCTGGCTGAGATCCTGGATTGTGTAAGATGGACAAACGCCCTTGAGAGGTATGGTGCTTTCTTTGAGTGGGGATGTATTGAGGACAGCTGCTTCAAGCTCCTGCTGCCTTAAATCCCCTACCACAAAGGACTTGTACTGTGAGCTATAAGCTAAAACCTTCCTCCCTCCAGTTTCTTTCATATTTGTGGTTGTGAACCTAGCCTTTAACGGCGGAGCCCTCCCTCCAGCCCCCTCCAGTTTCTTTTATCAAGGCATTTTGTCACAGCAGCAAGGAAAACTCAGACAGCTGGTGGAGGAAGCCCCTTAAACACTTGGTTACATTTCCTGCAGGAGGCCAAGAGACAGCTGAGACCCTTACTGGAGTGTTTCTAGCAAGTCTAAGATATAAAGCTTCTGAGCTATCCTGGAATGCTGGAAAGGCTAGTTAACAAGCCCTAATGTGTGTTAAATATGTTACAGAAACACCTCGAATCAGATTCCCATGGTCCTCAGAGACACTGTCCTGTCTCCAGAGCATCGGCTCCACTGTTTCCTCATCATCCACAGTGAGCCTCCAAGTATTACATTCCTGGAATATTTAGTTAATTTCCACTGGTTCAGTTGTCTGTGTGGCAGCAGACATAAAAATGACTCAGTCTTGCTCAGTGAAGATATGTGGGACGGCTTGAAGGCACTGTTACAGGACGGCCTGGGCAGGAAGCCATGAGGCTCCACTCCATCTTGCAGGTGGGGCAGTCGTCAGAGCACAGGGGTCCTGGGTTCCTAGTGACCTTCG